CTCCTGAATATTTCCCCAAACCCCCTTCCCCTGGCCACACTCATCCTTCAGGTTTCTGTGGAGACATCACTTTTCTCGGAAGCATTCCCTGATTGCCAAGTCTGCTTTATCTGCCTTTCAGGGACAGCCTTTTTCAGACTGTACTTGTTTTGTCTTTTTTTTTTTTTTTTTTCCTTTCTTCCCACTGAGCCATAAACAGCTTAGAGTCAGGGACCCTGGCATCTGGGTCTTTTCATTATTCTCAGGGCCTAGCACGGAGGCCGGTATATAGTAGATGCTCATTAAATATTGAGTAACTGCTTGCATGAATAAATGAAAGAATTGAACATGTGGAAAGAAATGAAGACCAAGCAGAGGCTATCTATTCCGTTTGCTATAGCAAGGGAATCAGCCTCTGTCAGTTGCTTTCTGCCAGGCAAAGAGTGGGAAAGCTTTACAGTGGGAGAAAAGGGAGGCTTCAGCTATGTCCCGATTGAAGGCTGTTGGCACGGGGAAGCCGCAGGCAGGCTAACTAGAAGTGGGAAACCCACGTGATTGGTTAGGGGTGCACCTTTGGCTTTCTCTGGTTGGTCCTAAGTTAGAAATAGGGCAAAAATGAGGGAAGCTGTTGGTTATTCATCCGGTCCTGCCCATTGGGGTCAGTCATTATAGGGATTATTGTTGGGCTGTCTGACCTACTACTAGTGATAGCTAGTTGACTTTCTACAGTCTGACTTATAGGTAGCAGGCTGGCTTCCTGACCAGGTTACTGTGGATAGGGGGTTGGTTACCTGGACTGGATGCTGCAGATTGTAGGTCAGATTTTTATTTTCATATATATAGTCTGGCAATTGGCCATTTGTATACTCAGTCTCTCAAACTAATATCGATTGAACATCTACCGTACCTCAAGCTCTGAATTAAGTGTTATATATGCAATGCCTCATTTATTTCTCGCAATACCTTTGTGGGGTAGGTGTTACCATTTCTGCTTAACCCCAATCACTTCCTTCTTGAAGCTCATGCTAGCCACACTTTCTGTCTTCTGCCCTCTTTGATGCCTTAGGTCTCCCCCCATGCACACACCCCAGATTCACTGGAGACTGGGCTCTGTGGCCCTCCAGCCCAATGCTGCCATCTTCCCAGCCCTGTCATGATCCTTCCTCCATTCCTTCCCACAATTCTAGATTCCCAGTTGTAGATTTCTTCATCTTCCAGTGACCTTAACCTCCAAGCCTCTTTACTCATCCACACCTTAGTAATCAGGCACATCCCTCGTCATCACCAAGAAAGGGCTCATCTCTGATATAGAAACCCTATCACCCACTCTGATCAAAATAACTTCCTCCTCTTTTAGCCCTCCCAGGCAGTCATTAATTCTGGGTGGGGGCAGAATGGTAGATTTCAAAACACTTAAAAATATTTTTTGCTATATTGTAATATGTCTAAAATGTATACTATGAATAATAAAAAACCTCTCTAAGCATGATTTTAATCTTTAAAAATAAATGTCACTTACTTGTATACCCATCACTTTCTTTCTTTGAGGGAACAGGGAAGGGAGGCAGGCCAGATAGCCCTATATGGTCATGATCACACTGCAATCAGAACTTATAACGATGAAGTTCTCTTATTTATTTATTTGTTTTTTATTTATCTATTTTATTTAAATTCAATTAATATATAGTGTATTATTAGTTTCGGAGGCAGAGTTCAGTGACTCATCAGTTGCATATAACACCCAGTGCTCATTACATCCCATGCCCTCCTTAACACACATCACCCAGTTATCCCATCCCCCATCCTCTATTTATTTATTTATTTATTTAGAGACAGCAAGTGGGGAGAGGTAGAGGGAGAGATAGAGAATCTTAAGCAGGCTCCATGCCCAGTGTGGAGCCTGACATGAGGCTCTGATCTTACAACCCTGAGATCATGACCTCAGCTGAAATCAAGAGTCAGATGCTTAGCTGACTGAGCTACCGAGGCACCCCGAAGAAGTTCTTTTATTTTTTTTTATTTATTTAAAAAAATATTTTATTTATTTATTTGACAGAGAAAGAGACAGCAAGAGAGGGAACACAAGCAGGGGGAATGGGAGAGGGAGAAGCAGTCTTCCCACCGAGCAGGAGCCCAATGTGGGGCTTGATACCAGGACCCCGGGATCATGATCTGAGCTGAAGGCAGACACTCAACGACTGAGCCACCCAGGTGCCCCCCCCACAAAGAAGTTCTTTTAAAATGAAGTTGATTTGGGAAAGTCTCCAAAGTCACGACAAACACAGTGGACAAATTATGTTTGAGTGGCCATGTTCCCATATGCTGAGTATAATGGTTAATTTCATGTGTCAGTTTGGCTAGACCATGGCACTCAGCTGTTTGGCCAAACACTGGTTTAGATGTTGCCTCGTGCCAGTGTTTTTTAGATGTGATTAACATTTAATCCCTAGATTTTGAGTAAGCAGATTACCCTCCAGAATATCGGTGGGCCTCACCCAATCAGTTGAAGGCGCTAAAAGACCAGATTGAGGTGTTCTAAGCAGGAAGGAATTCTGCCTTTAGGCTACCTTTAGACTCAAGATGGCAACATTAACTCTTCCCTGGGTCTCTGGGCTGCTGGCCTGCCCTGCCTATTTTGGACTTGTTAGCTGTCTCAGTCTTATAAACCAATTCCTTTAAAAAATTTCTATCTATCCACATCCTATTGGTTCTGTTTCTCTGGAAAGCCCTGACTAATACACTGGGCAAAGGCCAGATATACAGGACAGAAACTCCCCCACATAGCATAGAGGAAGATAAACAGGACCGAACTCCATAAATCACTCCCCACCTTTCCCCCCAGCCACCAGTCCTCAACCTGTCAGATTCCTCTTTATTGAATCAGGCCCAGCATCTGATAACAACAGGTCACTGAGGGAATTGTTGACTGATGGGTTATACTCTAGCAGGTGGTTTTCAGTCAGGTTGGTGCTGTCATTAGAATTTTAAGCTGCTTATTTCCAAATTGAAGGAGAAAGTGTCTTATCATTATCCTCAAATAAGGAATGTTCTAGTAATAGGCTAAGAGATGCATTGATCACAAGGCATCTTGAAAGTAAAATGGTGTTATGCCTTCAGGGTGAAGGCAAAGCCAGGTTTTGTGGAGCCTAAAGTTATACCTAAAGTAGGAGTTCCCTCTTTAGAAAAAAGAATACACAAATATCTTACTTCGGCAGTTTATCAGTGTAAGTGAGCGTATGAATCATAGGATCATATGAGCCCTCCTGGGGCTTTACATTTGGAGAGGGAAAGTGAGGAGCCCTGAAGCTTAAGCTTTATTAGCTTCAGGGTAAATCTGGCTCTGTTTCTGGGCTTTTTAGAATGGGGACAGAAAGAAAGGTGTTGGCCTCTCCTTAGGTTGGTTCTTGTTCTGCTGGGAAGGAAGCTGGGGTTGGCCTCATTCCAGCTGCTGCAGGAAGATACATTTCTCTTCCTCTAGATCCACACTGTTCCCCGCCTCCAAGCCCTGCTGGTGTGAGCTGCCAGACCCTTGCCCCACTTCCATCCCTTTCCCCACTCCCTTCTCTGCCTTCAGCTCTCATCCTGGAGTTTCCAGAGCCCATTTGCCATGCGCCTGTACCCTGTGTTAGTGTGGGGGGGGCTGGTTCCGATGACATTCAGATGACAGCGTGCAGCCTGTCTCCTACCTCGCAAATGCAAACACCTCTCTGTGCTTCCTACAGCTCTTTGGTCTCTGAGGATAGCATTTCTAACTGCATGAGAAGCAGCAGCACTATGGCTGCCTCGCGAGAAGGAGACTTGCTCTGTGGTCCTTTCTCTACATCCGTGGCCAGCACGCCGACGATCCTTCTTCCTGCCTCTTCCCATCTCCAAGGGCTGGATTTATCTGTCTCACATATGCAGACTCATGCTATCAGAAGCAGTGGCTTTCTGGCTCTACCCAGGGGTAAGTATTTTTATAGAATTGGCTTTCAGTATTTCATGGAGTATAGGAATTTACTGGCACCTTCTCTCCTCATTCTGGGAGAAGCTCAATGACTGGCTGAACAGTTCTGCAAATCCCAGCGGCTGGCATTCTCCGTTTTCTCTCAGCTCCGAGTTCCTGCCTCTTCAGAACTCCTGGGCTCATTTTCACCCCATGTTTCAGAGCAGTTCTTCCCCGTCTGCCCCCACCAACTGAAATCTGGGCCTTTTCTTTGATCTTACCCCAGAATCACTCACACCTACACACACAGACTTGTAACATAGACTTTACTGAAAGAGTTGGAACAACGGAGTTTTGTATCACGGCAAAACCCGAGCAACTGAAAATCACATTTCAGTCATCCTTGTTTCCTACATCCGCCTTCAGGATGCCCTTCCTCTTTTGCTCCCATTCTCTCAGACTTGAGCCCCTGCTCAACTGACTGTCACCCTCTTCCCCTCATCCCTGGCTCCTGCAGAGGGCAGAAGTAGTCTCATTCAGTTTAGACTAAAAGCAACTGTAGCAACAGTTCTAGAACCGGTTCTTCATCCTGCTACACTCAGCGTAAATAAGACAGAGAGAGAAGTGAAGAAAACAGAAGTCCTCACCACGACGCAAAAACGGACCCCCTCTCTTTCACACCTTTAAACATTTGAGCTGCACGTACTCAGCCAGCTCTGCCTCAAGCTGATAGAACCCTCCCCCGGAGTCCCAGTGACTCTCCGGCTCCCTCTATTTCCTCATTTCATTGCCTCCTCTTGGATCCCAAAAGCTGTCAGAGAAAAGCCCTACTCCTTGTTCTCACGTCACGGAAGTCCACGGTCAGGAGCCGTTTGGAGCAGTGATGTAGTGAGGCAGGAAAGAGGCCGACCTGGAGAGAACAGAGGGACAGATTGAAGTAACCCAAGGAGCTGAAAGGTTTATTTAGGAACAAGGAAGATGACTCCTGGGACAGGCAGCCACATGGTAGATCCCAGGACATTTCCGGGCTGCGCGCACCGTGAGCACCCTCCAGACTCTAGGGACAAAAGGCACCGCGCAGAAACAGATTCTGTACCTAGACGCCCCCATCCTGCAGCATGGCCTCTGTCCCCAGCTTCTCCAGCTCCTCGTTGCTGTAGCCTCTGGGACACGGCTGGTACTTGGCCCCTGGGGTCTCCCTCCAGGAGGAGAAGCGATGGTGCCAGAGGCTGCAGAGACCATAGACGGCAGCCAGCACGGCGGCACCCAAGGCCAGGTGCCAACAGAAGAAGATGGTGAGGAAGGCGAGGTCCCCCGGGTTCTCTGCCTTCCAGGGCTGCCCCGAGGGGGGAACGTACATCAGCACAGAGAGCTGTAGCATCCAGCAGCTCAGCACCAGTCCCAGCCAGGTCTTGAGCACCCACAGCGTGGGCTGGTCAGGGACCCAGACCTCGATGATGAGCACCAGGCTCACCAGGAAGGTGAGCACCACGAACAGCACATGCACGCGGATCTCCAGGGTGCCCTTGTTCTCCAGGTGGGCGGCCATCAGCAGTGTCAGCACACAGAAGGCCAGGGCCTCGGCTGCTCGCTCCAGCTTGACGTTCTGCCATGCTTGACATGCCTGGCTCACGATGTCCACCACGCCACTGAGCATGAAGAACCCATACATGGTGGCGTGATCCCAGTTGTCGTAAAATATGAATGGCCGCCGAGGGTCCTCCCAGTCTACTATCTTCATCCGGTTTACTCCTGGGGGGTAGAAGAACTCAGGAATGATGCCACCCAGGGCAATGACCACCTTCATCATCCCTTGCACAGGTACCCGCTGCCACCACCTGTGTCCTCGCTTCTCCCTTGGGGGCAAAGGGGGGCTGAGTAACCTCTGTCCCCGCAGCAGGGCCAAGGACACCATCACTGCATAGTACAGAGAGAAGACGAGGAAGAATACTCCTGCCAGCAGGTGTCCTTGGAAGGTACCCATGGTCTCACCGTGTGTGCTGGAGCCAGCAGAGCGAGAGCCGGCAGGTGAGAGGCAACCTCGCGGGGCTCTCCTCACAAGCAAGAGTGGTGGCTTCTAAGCTGTGGTGAGATCTTCCTGCTCCAGCTCCACCCCTACCTCCCACACATGAAAGGACACACGTCTGTGCTGGAAGCATCCGAGCCACTCCCTGGGTGGGATCTTTCAGCCATGTGGCACTTTGCCTCACTCCGTTCCTTCCTTAGGTCAGCCAAGCTTGGGATGCCAACCTCTGCACCTCACGTGGTTGACCCTTTCTCCTCCATCCCCTTTGCCCCACCCTCCACAAAGAGAGGGGATGGAAAGAGGTGATTAAGGGGCGGTGGCTGACTTTCTTACATTGGCTGTCTCTTTGTGCCAGTCGTATTACATCTTTTTTTCCTCACTTAATCCCTCAACAACTCTATGAGAGAGTGGAACAAAAGGTATAGGTGACATTAAGGCTCTGAGCGGTGAAACCACACGAATAGGTGTCACATCTAGCCGGGAGCACAGCAGAGCCAGGATGGCGACCCAGATCTACTCATCTGCTGATAAAGTCCAGAGTTTGTACGTGACTAAATGACTTTCAGTTCCAACACTTGTAAGTCACATGATGACGGGCAAGTTACTGTGTCTTCTTGAGCCTCAGTCTCCTGACCAGTAGAATGGGGATGATAATTACTTCAGAGGTTTCCTGTACTAAATAGAATAAGGTATGTGAGTGTCTGATACATTATAAATGATGTAGTGATTATTAGTAATTTTTCTATGTTATTACTAATGTTCCTTGCAGAATTCCTATGATGATAAAATTGTTCAAGTATTCCTATGAATAATACCAAAGCAGAAAACATTTAAAGGGACACCTGGGTGGCTCAGTGAGTTAAAGCCTCTGCCTTTGGCTCAGATCATGATCCCAGTGTCCTGGGAGTGAGCCCCACATCGGGCTCTCTGCTCAGCAGGGAGCCTGCTTCCTCCTCTCTGTCTGCCTCTCTGCCTACTTGTGATCTCTGTCTGTCAAATAAATAAATAAACAAAAAGAAAAAAAAAAGAAACCATTTTAAAAAAGGGAGGAACCTAATTATATTTAAAAATGTAAAACTTTTTTATTAATAGAAATTAAGCATTACAATGAATAATTTATCATATATTAAAATTACAATTAAAATTAATTTCAAGAAGCATCTGGGTGGCTCAGTTGGTTAAACAGTTGCTTTTGGCTCAGGTCATGATCTCAGGGTCCTGGGATTGAGCCCCATGTCAGGCTCCCTGTTCAGCAGGAAGTCTGCTTTCTCTCTACCCCTAGCCCCCCCCTACATGTGCTGTCTCTCTTCCCCCCACCTCTAATAAATAAATAAAATCTTTAAAAATAAAATAGGGGCACCTGGGTGGCTCAGTCAATTAAGCGCCTGCCTTCAGCTAAGGTCATGATCCCGGGGTCCTGGGATCAAGCCCCATGTTGGGCTCCCTGCTCAGATGGGAATCTGCTTCTCCCTCTTCCTCTCCCTCTGCCCCTGCTCATGTGCTTTCTCCCTCTCAAATAAATAAATAAAATCTTAAAAAATAAAAATAAGCAGTTGCACTACTGGGTATTTACCCCAAAGATACAGATGTAGTGAAAAGAAGGGCCATCTGTACCCCAATGTTTATAGCAGCAATGGCCACGGTTGCCAAACTGTGGAAAGAACCAAGATGCCCTTCAACGGACGAATGGATAAGGAAGATGTGGTCCATATACACTATGGAGTATTATGCCTCCATCAGAAAGAATGAATACCCAACTTTTGTAGCAACATGGACGGGACTGGAAGAGATTATGCTGAGTGAAATAAGTCAAGCAGAGAGAGTCAATTATCATATGGTTTCACTTATTTGTGGAGCATAACAAATAGCATGGAGGACAAGGAGAGATGGAGAGGAGAAGGGAGTTGAGGGAAATTGGAAGGGGAGGTGAACCATGAGAGACTATGGACTCTGAAAAACAATCTGAGGGTTTTGAAGGGGCAGGGGCGGGGTGGGAGGTTGGGGGAACCAGGTGGTGGGTATTAGAGAAGCACGGATTGCATGGAGCACTGGGTGTGGTGCAAAAACAATGAATACTGTTACGCTGAAAAGAAATAAAAAATTTAAAAAAATAAAAAAAATAAAAATAAGCGTTCATTAATCTTTAAAAAAATTAATTTCAAGGGAAAAATAAACTGTAAAATTTTACTCCATATTTGACAAAGTGTAGGTCTCCTAACAATATAAATAGCTCTTACAAATAAAAAAGTTAAAAATGAATGCCTCAGTAGAAAAATGATCAAAGGGCATAAAGCGGCTAGTCATTCAAAGAAAACTGTAAGGGGCCAATAAATCTACAAAAGTGGGAACCTATCTGTAGCCTTAACAACACAGACTTCTCTTCGAGGAAGGTAAGGTAGTTCTTTCACTCTTCCATGCCAAATGGGAAAAGTGGTGAAGAATGAGAAATGAGGGGCATCCGGGTGGCTCATTGGTTAAGCTTCTGACTCTTGGTTTCAGCTCAGGTCATGACCTCTGGGTTGTGAGATCAAGCCCTGAATCCCATATTGGACTCCGCCCTCAGTGTGGAGTCTACTTATCCCTCTCCCTCCCCCACTACTCACTCACTCTGTCAATCTCAAATAAATGAATAACATCTTTTTTAAAAGTGATAAGTGATAAGCTAAAAATGTTAAGGCTACTACAATAGTAAATGGTTATCCAATTTTTTAAAAATTTTCTTTCTTTTTTAAAAAAAGATTTTATTCATGTATTTATTTATTTAAGAGAGAGAGGAAGAGTGCACAAGCAGGCAGAATGGCAGGCAGAGGAAGAAAGAAACTCCCTGATGAGCAGAGAGTCCCACATGGGGCCTGATCCCAGGACCCTGAGATCCTGACCCAAGCTGAAAGGAGACGTTCAACCAACTGAGCCACCCAGGCATAAAATAAAATATTTTTTCTTATTCTAAGAACACTGGATCTTGAGAGTTCAAAATTTTAATATCCAAGGGAAGATATGCCCACCAAAGGACACATTGATGATTTCATTGAACCGGAAGCCGAGACAATCACATGTATATTTCAGGCTCCTCAGTCATGAGGCAAACAGGCAAAAAAGAAGGATATTGGTATTGACTGAGGCAAGTGGTTCTGATTAACACAGGGACATAGAATTGCAGCCATATAAGGAGATGGGGAGGAAGAGGTATGGATGCAAGACAGGTGCCTCACCAAGTTGCCTTCTTAGGCTACATAGCTAATGGTCATTAAAGGAAGATACTTTCCCGATCCTATGTAGGCAGGACCACCAAAGGCTCTTTGATTCACTTTTTCCATTCAAGAATAGTACTACTAATGTCAGACACTTCTAGGCCCTGAGGAGCCAACAATGAAGAAGAGAGACAAGAAACAAATAAATATACAAGTAAACAACAACGAAAAAATGGTAGAGGGTGTTAAATAATAAGCCTTCTTCCCTCAAAAAAAAAAAAAAAATTAAGGCAATTGCAATAGTGAGTGAATCCTTCAGATCAAATCATAAAAGAAATAGCATTTAAGCCAAGATCAAATTGGCATTAGGGTCCAGCCCTGCAATATGTGAGTGAATGATTGGATAGCTTTATCATATGAAGACCTAGAGGAGGAGATGAAGGAAAGCGAAGACCCTGGTAGTAACACTCCTTATTGACAATGTATGCTGTTTCCAATCTTTCCAATTGTGTCTTTCTCTTCCTAACTGGCATCACATTTTGGTTTTTGCCATTGAGAGCCTGGTTAGGGGCATGCCGGGTAGTAAGACCTTAAGTAATTTGTCTTTCCTTAACTATCTTTTGCTGCCTATTACAATGAGCGAGTATTTTTGTCATCAGAAGCTAAATGAAAATTTGAAATCACTGATGCGATTGTTTAATGCATGGAGAAAAAGCTTCAATATGAAGACATTGAAATGTGGCAATTTCTACATGGTAGTTTTATGGGGAATATTCATTTGTGTCGTTATTTTTTTTTTGTATCTTTCAAGTGTTCTATGAGGCTTTAGTAATTTAATTTCATGACAAAATTATCAACTTGAAAAATTTTGTAAAAGCTCTCCTCAGTCACTAAAAACAGTTCTTTATACATGTATATTTGTGTGTACAATTATTTATAAAGATATAATGTGTATACTAACATATTTTAAAGACCAAAAAACGCACAGACAGGTTTAAAAAATAATATAACAAATGCCAATGCAGAATGAACAAGTGTTAACATTTTGTCATGTTTGCTTCCGGGGTTTAGAGAAATAAATATTCAGATCTTTCCTGTCTCATTCCCATGCCTCCCTCCCTTCAGAATGGAAAACCGTATCATTTTGGTGTGGATCTTCCCTGTCATTCTGTCATTTTATATATGTTTGCATCTTTCTGTGTCTTGTCTCTTTGTCTCTCGGATCTACCTGATCATTTTCTATGTATTTCTAATTCTGAAGAAACAAGCAATAGAAGGAGGTCTTCCCTGAACAAGACACTGCTCACGCCTCAGTTAGAATCCATGTAAGTAGAGTTCCTTTGTAATGAAGTCAGTGTGGTTAAATTAAAAAGGGAGGAGGGACTCAAAAATCGTGCAAAAATACAGCTGATGGGAACCATATGTCACAGTGGCCCCGTTCCAGTAAACTGGGCAAGTATTGATGTGTTGATGCTAAGGTAACTAAAGGTAAGCAAGGCCAACTTTTTTCTTTTTTAAAAAAATTTTATTGATTTATTTGAGAGAGAGAGAGATCACACCTAGGCAGAGAGGCAGCCAGAGGGGGGTGGGGAAGCAGGCTCCCTGCTGAGCAGAGAACCCGATGTGGGGCTCGATCCCAGGACCCTGAGATCATGACCCGAGCCAAAGGCAGAGGCTTAATCCACTGAACCACCCAGGTGCCCCAACTTTTTTCTTTCATGAGACTTTATTTATTTATTTGAGAGAGAGAGAGAGAGAGAGAGAGAG